GCCTGTGTGTGGGTGTACAAGGAGACAAGAATGTAGTAGAGAGGACAAAAGTCACCTGGCTGCACAATAATGGTGGGTTCTTTCAAGGTGTGGCTGGTAATGGCATCTGTGTACTATGACTCTGCTATGAAGTTGTGTATGTGTTAATCATTAAAAAGTCATGACCAGCACTACAAAACGTAGAAGCCTGCCATTTCACATATGCTGATGTTGAGGTGGTCCTGGAGATTATGAATATAAGGTTGAACATTTTGGAATGTCCCTTTAAAAACTCAACCTGGGTGTGGAGTGTTCCCTGGGCCATATTCAGGAAAGAGGCACCTGTGTGGATAATCTATATCAGAGACTGAAGAGGAAGCGAGACATGTCATTCGCTCCTTTTTTCTGGTTCAATTAACTAAGCAGACCAGACCCAGCTGCTAATGCCAGGCAGGTCACCCGTAATACAAGTCAGTATTTGACGTTCATCCATGTCTCAGGACGTCAGGAGATGACGTGGAAACCGGCCATTAGGGGCAACAGTGAGCGCTGTTATCTTCAAGTAGGCTTTGGCTGTGTTAAGGTGTTGTGGATAGGGATGGCTTTTGGGTGTAAGCATGTTGCATGTTCAAATCCAGCAATAGAAAGTTGTTTTAGATTACCTTAACCATTCGGAGTTAATGACTAACCTTAAGAATTCGGAGTTAATGCCTAAACTTAACCTTGGAACGATAAAGACAAGTAACCTAACACTTCGAAATTAGACGTTTGGAACAACTTCGAAATTTGACTGTTGAGAAACATGGATGAATGTCTAATTCTAACGTGCGAATGTGAGAGCTTGTTGGCTAATGCATTGGTGCCAATGATTTATGTATACACTAGATGACAGACAAGGGGCGCTGTGTTTTAAAGCCACCGTGCCTCCATTTTGGCACTCCGCTATTATTTTAAAAAGGCTGAGGCTACGAATACGGCATTTGGCTCCGTCCCGACCCTCTGCAAACTTCTTTCTCTAATCCAATGATCCAAGTCACGTTCCACGCATGTTATTTTACACACACATTCACGTTTCTCTTTTTGCTCACCCTCTTCTGAGCCCTCAACCAATTTGATCGATATGATGATGTAGCCTATGTCTCGGCCTCATATATCTGAACAGCTGCGATTTGAACTAATGTTCCAAAAAAATATATGAAGGCTACAAACTTCTCTGTCTGTTGTAAGGGATATTGCCGTAACACAAGCAAGACACAGTCTACACATTGCATTGGGGAAAAACAATTAGCGTTTTGTGTAATGATGTAATCTTTATAGCTATGCTGCTATATAACCAGCAGGCTACCCCCTGTTTAGCTAATGTTTGCAATGATGATGAAAAAATAACTTTAAATGGCTATTGACTGCCTGTCTGTGTCTTGCTTGTTTGATATGCTGTGTATGCTACTGTACACTACATTACCAAAAGTATATGGACACCTGCTCGGCGAACATCTCATTCCAAAGTCATGGGCATTAATATAGAGTTGGTCCCCCCTTTGCTGCTATAACAGCCTCTACTCTTCTGGGAAGGCTTTCTACTGCAGGTCAGTCATGTTCTTCCACACCGTTCTCGACAAACCATTTCTGTGTGGATTTTGCTTTGTGCACGGGGGCATTGTCATGCTGAAACAGGAAAGGGCATTTCCCAAACTGTTGCCACAAAGTTGGGAGCACAGAATCATCTAAAATGTCATTGTATGCTGTAGCGTTAAGATTAGCCATCACTGGAACTAACAACGGTTGGCATTGTGCGTGGTGATCTTAGGCTTGTTTGCAGCTGCTCGGCCATGGAACGCATTTCATGAAGCTCCCGACTAACAGTTATTGTGCTGACGTTGCTTCCAGAGGCAGTTTGAAACTCTGTAGTGAGTGTTGCAACTTAGGACAGATCATTTTTACGCACTACTGCAAAAAAAATGCATTATTCTTAAAGTGGTAATGGCCTACTTTTTGGACACTTTATACTAGTCTCTTGGGGTATGTCTCTATAAGCTTGGCACATCTAGCCACTGGGATTTTTGCCCATTCTTCAAGGCAAAACTGCTCCAGCTCCTTCAAGTTGGATGGGTTCCGCTGGTGTACAGCAATCTTTAAGTCATACCACAGATTCTCAATTGGATTGAGGTCTGGGCTTTGACTAGACCATTCCAAGACATTTAAATGTTTCCCCTTAAACCTCTCGAGTGTTGCTTTAGCAGTATGCTTAGGGTCATTGTCCTGTTGGAAGGTGAACCTCCGTCCCAGTCTCAAATCTCTGGAAGACTGAAACAGGTTTCCCTCAAGAATTTCCCTGTATTTAGCGCCATCCAGACCCACTGTAATTGCGATACAGTGAATTATAAGTTAAATAATCTGTCTATAAACAATTGTTGGAAAAATTACTTGTGTCATGCTCAAAGTAGATGTCCTAACCGACTTGCCAAAACGATAGTTTGTTAACAAGAAATTTGTGGAGTGGTTGAAAAATGAGTTTTAATGACTCCAACCTAAGTGTATGTAAACTTCCGACTTCAACTGTATGTTGCATTGATCTGTTCTGTAATAGACTATGGCAGTATAGCGTATTGTTCGGTAGCCCAGACATCATTGGAAAGGCTAGATGTCATACAGGGGCAAGGACTCAGAATATGTAGTAGGGCGTTTTGGACATCCCCAGTGGCTGCACTACAGGTGGAGATGGGGGATATGCCATTGCAGATTAGGAGACAGCAGCTGGCAATTAATTATTGGGTCAACCTACAGGGGCATGGGGTGTCTCATCCTGAGAAAGGGATTTTACAGGCATGCTGGGAACATGAGCGAAGACAGAACACAAGCTTTGGGTGGGTGGGTAATACTCAGGCAAAGGAGATGGGACTGTATGGAAGGGTGTTTAGTCCAACGGTAGCTATTCCTGTAAATCCACCATGGCTACTCCCACCTCCAGTAGTTGATCTAGAAGTGTTGGAGAGACTACAGAAAGATAGGGAGAGTGTTGATCCATCTGATTTGTTTAAGAGACATCTGGATACTGTGTATCAGGATTTTGTGGCCATTTACACAGATGGTTCAAAAGATCCAAGGACAGGACGTACTGGGTCAGCATTTGTAGTGCAGGAATGTGACGTCGAAGTCAGGAAACATATTACAGATCATCTGGCTGTATATACAGCGGAGCTGATGGCCATACTGTTGGCCTTGCAGTGGGTGGAGGAAGTTAAGCCAGACAGAGTAGTTATTTGCTCTGATTCATGTGCAGTGTTAATGAGTCTCTAGTCCTTAAGCTCACATAGCAGACAAAACCTGCTTTATGAGGTGCTACAAACCCATGGCAGGATTAGACAGATGGGTATACAGATAAGATTTACTTGGGTCCCAGCCCATGTGGGGGTGGAGGGGAACGAGGCAGTTGATGTACTGGCTAAACAAGCACTTAGTAGTGGGGATGTTGATGTTGTAGTTTCAATGAGCAAGGCAGAGGCAAAAAGCCTGATATGGACAGTGATGGTGCAGAGATGGCAGGAGCAGTGGAATAGAGATACTAACGGCAGGCATTTATTTCAAGTACAGAGGAAAGGGGAGGGGAGGACGGCAGGAAGGGACAGAAGAGAGGAGGCTATTTTTACAAGATTAAGCGTGGGACACAGCCAGTTGAATAAGACCTTAAATGTGATAGGAAAGCATCCAACAGGGAAATAATTGGCAGGAAACAGAGACCGTGGAGCATGTATTGCTACAGCGTGGGCAGTATCAGAGTGAAAGAGAGAGGATGAGATCTAGTATGAGGGAGAAGGGGATACAGGAAATTAGTTTAAAGAGTATATTGAGTAGAACGTCATTAGATATAGTCTCAAATATTTTGTTATCTTTTTTAAGAGCAACGGGGCTGGCATGTAGAATTTAGTTTCTCCCGGTCTCTGGCCCACACTCCAGTACAGTAGGCAGCGGTAATGCACCATAACGTTGGATGCCAACAACCAATAAACCCCACCGAAGAAGAATCATTGGCGCCTATGGCAGAGCCACCCGGAATGGAACCGTGACCATTTTATTTGATGGTATACGGCCTGAGTGGGACATCTTCATTTATCCACCATCTCTGCAGGGCAGATATGCCAGAGGGACAAACGTCCAGCAGGTAGTAAGTAGTAGCCTGGTGAGAAATAAATATGATTTATCTCTAACTGACATTATCAATAGGCGAACTTCCGCAAAGTTATCATGTAATTCAGGACAAGCCTGTCCTGTCCCCACCTAGCTCTCGTGAACCCAAGGGAGCAGTGGGTTGAAGGGCAAGACCCCACCCTGTTTTATTGCACAAGTAGAACAGTGAGTAGCCTATATTAAAGACGCGCCAAATGATTTGGGATATATGCAGAATATCCAGCGCTTTTTTTGCGGTTCTCTCGGGAGGAAGGAGTAGTTGCTGCCTTTACTTCTGTTTAGTTTCTCTTTCACTGGAACTGCGCGTTTTCGATATTTTCACACAGAGGGAAGCAGAAGGGTTAGTGGTGTATATTATTCTTTCTAAGGCCAAAAAGGTTTCATGACTTGTAGGCTCGCGTTTTATTTTCAACTGTTGAATGTCTTTTTAGCTATATTATCATTTGCTTTTGGGTTGCTCCCGACTCGGATAGTGGAGGCTATTTATGGATATTTTGCCTGCCGATTGTATCTTTTCTCTTTTCTATAGCAAATGATATGCGACCACAGAGTGCAGAATTGAAATGGATGATTACATTCTACGATAGTTATTTCACTATTGTCAATGTCAATGAGTAGTCTATACAGTGCAACTAAAGGGAATATGATTAGGAGCGAAGCTTCTATTTCCTGTATGCAATAGTGATGGGAGATGTGATGACAGACCCCTCAAGATATTGGTCACTAAAGATGCTGCAAACATTCTTATTGTCATATTCAAATCAGTGCAGGTCCGATTAGTCTGCATATGTCAAACATTGCTTTCATCCTTTCTCCAGACAGACCAGTCATCAGCCATGGCATCTCTCAGCAGCTCTAACACAGCCTTTGCCTTGGAGCTGTACCGCACTCTGGGTCAGACCAACACAGGGAATATCTTCGTCTCCCCCTTCAGTATCAGCTCAGCGCTGGCCATGGTCTACCTGGGGGCTAAAGGAGACACAGCCTCTCAGATGGCAAAGGTAATACACGCATACTCAGATACACACAGTGGCAATTTTAGCATGTAAATCTTGGTGGGGCAAAAAAGAAAGAAAGGGGGATGCATGCCAGCAAAGCCACTACACAACACAACACTAAACAATACATTAATTGCACTATAACGGTGACAAACGTTGCCCACAAACTGTTAGGGCCTACATAAAGCTGTCCCAACAGCAGTCCCAACATGTTACCACTGCTACACCTGGCTATCAGCGGAGCCTTGTCTGGCAGCGAAACAGTTCATTCAGCCTCATTTACTGCATTTAAAAAAACATAGCTGATATGGCTGACTTGCTTAAACAAATGTGGTTTCTAATGACAATGAGATGTACAAACTATGGCATAAGGGGACGACAAGCGGATAAGAGGCAATCCGTAATTTCGATTAACACATTAATGAGCGAGCTAGGACGGACGTAGTCAATATAACTATTTGTTTAGCACTTTTGAAATGTACAGCGACGGAATTCAGAACATGGGCCATTCTTACAGTGTTCTCCCTGTACACCAAGTCAGAACCGTAGGATAAATAAAGGGGGCATATAAGCAGACAATGAAAGCTCTTACAATATTCAATGATTAAATTTCTCTAAAACAGGTTATAGGCTACATGTGCACCACCAAGTCAGAACAGTAGGCAAAATTAAGAAGGGAAAATAGACCAAATTATTAGGGTGAGGCACATGGGCTACTAACAGCTTACTACACAACATACATTTAGCTACAGTGTACATATCACCCTGGGATATTACATAATTTATGCAGCAACATACAATACATTTTTGGACTCACCCTGTTGTGCTGTGCTCACTTGAACAGGAAGGTGACGCGGCGGTCGTTCGTGGGCAAATTTTGTCATCAAAGTCTGGCATTCTCTGGATTTATGGTGCTTTCAAGACAACTGGGAACTCTGGAAAAAAAACAAGATCGAATCATGATGACGTAGCTCTAGAAAGAGGCATTCAATTCCAAGTTGAATGACTGTTCAAAACGTATTTTCCCAGTAGGAGCTTGTTTATTCCCGACTTCCCAGTTGTCTTGAACTCAAGTTTTCGCAGTTCCGAGTTAACAGTTGTTTAGAGCGTGGCACAAATCATGCTTCATTGACAGCATGGCCAATATTGAATGTTTATCATTTGTGTTGGACCACACAGCCACTCCACTGAATAGCAGGCTAGTGATTGCTTTGCAATGCTTGCAGTTAGCCACTGTCACTGATTCCTTCCAAACCACTCATTGTTGAATTTGCGATTTCCAACTTGTTGTGTAATGTTTATGTCCAATGGCCGATGAGCACTGATACATTTGATCTATAATTTCTCTTCATTATTTCCCTTCATATGACAAGGATTAAAAAGGATTTGCCAGTAGATTGTCGACTTGATTCATGATGATGACTGCTAGCTAAGATTTTGAAAGTATGATGTTCACATGATCAGTCCAATCAAAGCTACTGTAGATATAACGTGATTTGACGTCATTTTATCTGTGGCCAATGACCTTGAGTCTTCTTGGATGGGCACTTCTAATGTAACTCTATGGCAGCACCCAAGGGGCTTGAGTTTTCTAGCTCTACTCTTAGACTTGGTGGTGACGTAGTGTCCCCATGAGTGACAGAACACTGAGCCAATCATGGCGCAACACTCCGTATTTTCTGCTGTCTTGCCCCACCACAACAGAAAGCACTGAGCTAGGCAGAAACACCTGCATTTTGGAGCTGCCTTACTCAAGAAAACAAAAAAGAGACCATGTTTGTATGCAGCTTTATTAACTCAATGATATATATTTTTTTTACATTGTTTGCAAACTGATATGTGACACGTATTAATGCTAAAATAACATGCAAAACAGGCAAGCCCCCTCCAAAAATAATAATAATGTGGGGGTCGTCACTGGATACACACATAAATACATGCACACACACACATACACACACACACACACACACACACACACACACACACACACACACACACACACACACACATGTATAGAGAGAGAGATCGACACACACACACACACACACACAGATACAAACAGATACACACAGAGAGAAATAGACACACATACACACATACACACACACCCTTATAGTATGAAAATGTATGCACTCACTAACTGTAAGTCACTCTGGATAAGAGCGTCTGCTAAATGACTAAAATGTAAATGTAAATGTAGTAGGCTACATGTAGCATTCTACTCGTTAGGCCTATTCTCCAGACATCTGATAACGTGACAGGGTGTGTGTCTATATGTAGAAGGCATGACTAACTGATTATTGCTGCTCAGCTTGTACTTTAGACCGTAACACAGCAGTATATACCTCTGGGAACACACAGCAACATAGTAACCATGGAGAGGGCTATTCCTTATGTAGTGCACTACTTTTGACCATAGGGCTCTGGGCCTGGTTTCCCAAAAGCATCTAAAGGCTAAGTTCATCATTAGAACCATTCTAACGATTAACTTAGCCTTAAGAAGCTTTTAGGAAACTGGCCCTGGTCAAAATAAGTGCACTATGTAGGAAATAGTGTGCCATTTGGGAAGCACACCCTGAGTCGGTCAGTATCCAAGCAAAGCTGTAAATCCATAGTAACGTACATGACATTATGACTGTCTGTTTGTATCTGAAAGGTACTCTGCACTCCTTTACCTTTTATGTACACAGTCCAAGCTTTATTCATTAGCATCACTATAATCATCATCACTATTATCATCACTATCATCATCATCATCATCATCATCATTATAATCATCATCACTATCATGATAATCATCATCATTATCATCATCGTGATCATCATCATCATCATCATCATCACTATCATCACTATAATCATCATTGCTATTATCATCATCATTATAATCATCATCACTATCAAGATAATCATCATCATCATTATCATCATCATCACTATCATCACTATAATCATCTTTCTTCTCTCTGAATGTTCCCCAGGCTCTGTCATTCAGCTTCACCAAAGACGTTCACACAGATTTCCAGACACTCAATGCAGATATCAACTCTCCCTCTGCATCTTACATCCTGAAACTGGCCAACCGTCTGTATGGAGAGAAGACCTGCAACTTCCTGACCGTGAGTTTCACTATAAACTATACTTTTCATGCAAGTCATAGCACCTTTACATCTGTACTCTTTCATTTTGCTTCGGTATAGCATTGGACAAAATACCTCAAAATCAGACATTTGCTATTTGATTATCAATCAATCAATATATTTTATTATTGATTATAAACTGGGTGGTTCGAGCCCTGCATGCTGATTGACTGACAGCTGTGGTATATCAGACCATATACCACGGTTATGACAAAACATTTATTTGTACTGCTCTAATTACGTTGGTAACCAGTTTATAATAGCAATAAGGCACCTTGTGGGTTTGTGGTGTATGGCCAATATACCACGGCCAAGGGCTGTATGCAGGCACTCGGCGTTGTGTTGTGCTTAAGAACAGCCCTTAGCCGTGGTATATTGGCCATATACCACACCCCCTCGGGCCTTAATGCTTAATTATACATCTGCATACATGAGGCTAGTTAATCTTATGGAACTGTTTCACTCTGCTGTAGGAGTTCTTAGACTCCACCCAGACATTCTACTAATCTATAAAATGTTATTACATTTACAGGCATACAGGGGTAATAATGACATACCCAACGTTCTCTAGTAATACTAGTCCTGTGCGAAAAGGGTTTTTATTGATACGGACAAAAGACTGACTGTGTTATTACTGTCTGCTGTCTGAGAATCCACCCAGAAGTTCTACTGTACATCTCTTTATGCTTATTGAACTGTTTCACTCTGACGTAGGAGTTCTTAGAATCCACCCAGAAGTTCTACCATGCAGACATGAAGGCAGTGGACTTTCTCGGAGCAGCAGAGGAGACCAGAGGACAAATCAATGGCTGGGTGGAGAAGCAGACAGAGAGTATGATCATTTACTATATCAATTAGTTAATCAATCACATGTATTATCCCAGTTGGGAAATGTGTAGTGCAATACATGGGGGGGAAGACAACAGAAATAAAACAACATACACTTAACACACACATTAGATTAGATTAAAAAACAGCAACAATCGGATCTGTAACTAGGATCAGCTAACATGGAACTCAACATGTGATGAATATATCTGTCTATGCCTACCGACAGCATTAGAGCCAGATGGGACCTCTGGTTTCAGAGCTGCTTTTGGTTTAGTTTTTTTAATTGTGTGTGTGTGTGCGCGTGCGCACGTGCGTTTACAGATAAAATCAAAGATCTGCTGAAGCAGGGGACAGTCAGTGGTATGACAAAGCTGGCTCTAGTCAACGCCATCTACTTCAAAGGAAACTGGCTGAACAGATTTGACCAGAATGACACCAAAGAGATGCCCTTCAAACTAAACCAGGTGGATATTGGCAGTAATATTTAGATAGATATATATGCTCAGTAATGAAATAATGGAATTATATATAATTATTTACTGGATAATAGGATTATATACTAAACTGCTAAAATATATGGTTCTACTTAAAACCAAAAAGGGTTCAATGGCTCGCTTCATATGGCCCTTCTTTTTAGCAGTGGTACAAGTTTGACACATTTATGCGTCATCCAAGAGACAAAACAAACTTTCAGGTTATACTGTATAGGCCTATTGTGAGTTATATGGTGTTCAGATGAACTCATTCTCCTCGTCTATAATGATTTTTCAGAGTGAGAGCAAGCCAGTTCAGATGATGTACCAGATGAAGAAGTTCCCCTTTAACTACGTCCCAGACTATAACCTCCAGATCGTAGAGCTTCCTTATGTGGACGAGGAGCTCAGTATGTTTGTCCTGCTGCCTGAGGAGGCCGCTGACGGATCTGATCCTCTAGCGAAGGTATACACAACTTCCTATAACTGCATAGTTGATTGATGCGTGGGGTGTTTGCCTTTCACACCAGCGACCAGGGTTCACTTCCCTGTCCCTCTGTTCGCTACACTACAAGACATTGGTTTCCTTACCCTGTAAGCAGCTGATGGACAAGGTATGACAGCAATCCATGCTTTGGTTTTGTTTCCCTGGCACTGTTTCCAAATGCTAATGTTTTAGCATTTGTGGCCCAAAACCAATGCAAATCAGCATTTGTTGCGCATCATTTGGCACTAGGTGGTGTACTTGGGTCAGGCCCGGGAAGACTACTGAAAATCCACTACTACTATATAATTTATAATCTGATGTATGGAGTGTTGTCAATGCTACTTATTCTATATACTGACTGTGTTTTAACTGTGTGTTTCAACGCTACTCTTTCTCACTATACTGACTGTTTTAACTGTGTGTACCATTTAGCTGGAGAGAGAGCTGACCATGGAGAAACTGGACGAGTGGACCACCAGGTCCAACATGGACACAGGCACGGACATCAGAGTTCATCTACCCAAGTTCAAACTGGAGGAGGACTACGAGCTGAATGATCCCCTGGCCCAGATGGGCATGAAGGATGTGTTCGTCGGGGGCATGGCTGACCTGTCTGGGATGAATGGGGAGGGGGGGCTCTTCCTGTCTACGGTGGCCCATAAGGCCTTTGTGGAGGTGAACGAGGAGGGGACGGAGGCTGCAGCCGCCACTGCTGGGATGATAGCGTTCTGTATGTTCCGAGAGGAACACTTCACGGCTGACCACCCCTTCCTCTTCTTCATCAGGCACAACAAGACCAAAAGCATCCTCTTCCTTGGGAGGTTTTCCTCTCCTCAGTAGAAGAATAGTTAAAAAGCGTAAATATTTAACATAATTTACAACATTTATTTGACAGGGACATTGAACATCAATCAACATTTCTGTAAATGTGCCAGATTTAGCCAGCTAGCTAGTTCCATCAGCACTTGATTCAATCCACTATAAAACCAAATAAAGGAAAATGTCTTAAGTTTATTGTCTGTTTGGACAGTATCATTGTGTGTGATCTTAGTTCCCTTAAACATTGTTATGATTCTGGCATGAGTGCAGCTGATCGTTGGGGCTGGAGAAATGTAGTAAAGTAAGTTGCCTTTCACAAGCCTTGACTTGTGCGAGAAGGAATTGCTCATAGGAGCATGAGCCTATCTCCTGTTTCTGTAGCATGAGGCAGTACACCCCCTGGACCGGACCAATGATGTATATAAACCCTGGATTGCTGATGCTATGTAATGGCCAATGAGAGGCTTTGAAGCCACCGGTCGACCACTCTTCAAAAGAAGCAGTCCTCCATAGGAATGAATGGAATCCTACAGTATTTAATTTAAATGTTTCAAAGACTATATTTCATTTAAGTATTTTTTTGTTGTAGTGGGGACAGTAACAGAACTTTATAAAAATGTTACTTTAAGTAAAAATATGCATTAAGGTGTCTGTAATAGAAGAAACATGGCAAAAACAAATGCAGGCATTAATAGATGAATTGTATAGCTTCCAAAATATGTTTTACAATGGTGGGGTGCCAAGATCTAGTGTATATATAAATCATTGGACCGGACGCTAGTCCAAATCTATCTCCTTAATGCTGAGTGCCAAGCAGAGACGCACCGGGTACCATTTTTACAGTCTTTGGAATGACTCGGCTTGGGATCGATTCCCAAACCTTCCAATCTCAGGTTAGCCACTTAAAACACAAGGCCACTGAACTGGTTGAAGAAGGTGAAAAGCTTCAAGTTCCTCGTTGTACACATCTCTGATAATCTGAAATGGTCCACCCACACAGACAGTGTGGTGAAGAAGGCGCAACAGCGCCTCTTCAACCTCAGGAGGCTGAAGAAATGTGGCTTTGCCTCTAAGACCCTCACAAACTTTTACAGATGCACTATTGAGAGCATCCTGTCGGGCTGTATCACCGCCTGGTATGGCAACTGCACCGCCCGCAACCGCAGGTCTCTCTAGAGGGTGATGCGGTCTGCCCAACGCATCACCAGGGCACACTGCCTGCCATCCAGGACACTTACAGCACCCGATGTCACAGGAAGGCCAAAAAGATCATCAAGAACATCAACCACCCGAGCCACGGCCTGTTCACCCCGCTATCATCCAGAAGGCGAGGTCAGTACAGGTGCATCAAAGCTGGGACCGAGACACTGAAAAACAACTTCTATCTCAAGGCCATCAGACTGTTAAAAAGCCATCACTAGCCGGCCTCCACCCAGTACCCTGCCCTGAACTTAGTCACTGTCACTAGCCGGCTACCACCTGTTTACTCAACCCTGAGTCTGCTGGAATCACTGGTCACTTTAATAATACTGTTTTACTCATTTCATATGTACAGTATATACTGTATTCTAGTCAAGGCCATCCTATTCAACTATTGCTGTATATACTGTATACTATTCTATCCTACGTATTCTACAGATATACTAAATATTCTATCCACATACTGTCCATAATGTCTATAATGTCTATACATCCCATCACATATACAGTGGGGAGAACAAGTATTTGATACACTGCCGATTTTGCAGGTTTTCCTACTTACAAAGCATGTAGTGGTCTGTAATTTCTATCATAGGTACACTTCAACGGTGAGAGACGGAATCTAAAACAAAAATCCTAGAAAATCACATTGTATGATTTTTAAGTAATTAATTAGCATTTTATTGCATGACATAAGTATTTGATACATCAGAAAAGCAGAACTTAATATTTGGTACAGAAACCTTTGTTTGCAATTACAGAGATCATGCGTTTCCTGCAGGTCTTGACCAGGTTTGCACACACTGCAGCAGGGATTTTGGCCCACTCCTCCATACAGACCTTCTCCAGATCCTTCAGGTTTCGGGGCTGTCGCTGGGCAATACGGACTTTCAGCTCCCTCCAAAGATTTTCTATTGGGTTCAGGTCTGGAGACTGGCTAGGCCAGTCCAGGACCTTGAGATGCTTCTTACGGAGCCACTCCTTAGTTGCCCTGGCTGTGTGTTTCGGGTCGTTGTCATGCTGGAAGACCCAGCCACGACCCATCTTCAATGCTCTTACTGAGGGAAGGAGGTTGTTGGCCAAGATCTCGCGATACATGGCCCCATCCATCCTCCCCTCAATACGGTGCAGTCGTCCTGTCCCCTTTGCAGAAAAGCATCCCCAAAGAATGATGTTTCCACCTCCATGCTTCACGGTTGGGATGGTGTTCTTGGGGTTGTACTCATCCTTCTTCTTCCTCCAAACACGGTGAGTGGAGTTTAGACCAAAAAGCTCTATTTTTGTCTCATCAGACCACATGACCTTCTCCCATTCCTCCTCTGGATCATCCAGATGGTCATTGGCAAACTTCAGACGGGCCTGGACATGCGCTGGCTTGAGCAGGGGGACCTTGCGTGCGCTGCAGGATTTTAATCCATGACGGCGTAGTGTGTTACTAATGGTTTTCTTTGAGACTGTGGTCCCAGCTCTCTTCAGGTCATTGACCAGGTCCTGCCGTGTAGTTCTGGGCTGATCCCTCACCTTCCTCATGATCATTGATGCCCCACGAGGTGAGATCTTGCATGGAGCCCCAGACCGAGGGTGATTTACCGTCATCTTGAACTTCTTCCATTTTCTAATAATTGCGCCAACAGTTGTTGCCTTCTCACCAAGCTGCTTGCCTATTGTCCTGTAGCCCATCCCAGCCTTGTGCAGGTCTACAATTGTATCCCTGATGTCCTTACACAGCTCTCTGGTCTTGGCCATTGTGGAGAGGTTGGAGTCTGTTTGATTGAGTGTGTGGACAGGTGTCTTTTATACAGGTAACGAGTTCAAACAGGTGCAGTTAATACAGGTAATGAGTGGAGAACAGGAGGGCTTCTTAAAGAAAAACTAACAGGTCTGTGAGAGCCGGAATTCTTACTGGTTGGTAGGTGATCAAATACTTATGTCATGCAATAAAATGCAAATTAATTATTTAAAAATCATACAATGTGATTTTCTGGATTTTGGTTTTAGATTCCGTCTCTCACAGTTGAAGTGTACCTATGATAAAAATTACAGACCTCTACATGCTTTGTAAGTAGGAAAACCTGCAAAATCGGCAGTGTATCAAATACTTGTTCTCCCCACTGTATATATTTATACTCCGGACTCCGATATTGCTCGTCCTAATATTTATATATATTTCTTAATTCCATTATTTTACTTTTAGATCTGTGTGTATTGTTGTGAATTGATAGATATTACTGCACAGCTGGAGCTAGGAACACAAGCATTTGCTAAATAACATCTACTAAATATGTGACCAATAACATTTGATTTGATTTGAGAAATGTAAACATTATCAAATCCATAGACGGAGCTATAGGTACAAGGACTGACCATCCATTAGATGAAAATGATTGTTTTATCCATCCCAGCAAACATGCCCACATTGGCACGATGCAGGCTAAGATATTGGCCCCATGTAGGCTGCCCACATTGGGCCCATGTGCCATTGCTATTTCATAGGAATGTATTCATAATTCATTTATTACAATTTAATTCAATGGATAAATTGCATAATGTTCAAGCCTTTAAAAGGTCATTAGAGAACGTGGTACATTGTATCAGAAAGACAACCAAGTTATTACTATCATTCATATATACTGAACCAAAATATAAACGCAACGTGTAAAGTGTTGGTCCCATGTTTCATAAGCTTAAATAAAAGATCCCAGAAATGTTCCATATGCACAAAAAGCTTATTTCTTCTGTAATAAAGCCCTTTTGTGGGGAAAAACTCATTCTGATTGGCTGGGCCTGGCTCCCAAGAGGGTGGGACTTTGCCCTCCCATGCCCACCCCTGGCTGCGCCCCTGCCCAGTCATGTGAAATCCTAGATTAGGGGCTAATTAATTTATTTCAGTTGACTGATTTCCTTATATGAACTGTAACTCAGTCAAATCTTTGAAATTGTTGCATGTTGCGTTTATATTTTTGTTCAGTATATATTTTTTACAAGAGAAACTGTTATGTTTCTCATATGTCACATGCACTTATTTAAGTCTTTTGAGAGACTTCATCATTGGCAGTTTACAAGATCAACAATATTTGGCCATCACACAACAGACCACTTAAACTGGGACGACACTGATTAACGGTTGCACAAAAAGAAATGTGTGCAAACCACGCCCCAAAATATTTGGGGGCTCTAGCTGGGCTTGGTGTGGGCTAGCCTGTACTGGGCTTGGTGTGGGATAGCCCCTGTTGGTCTTGGTGTGGGCTGGCCCGTTTTGGGCTGGTGTGGGTTAGCCTGTGTTGGGCTATTGTAGGCTAGCCTGTGTTGGGCTGGTGTGGGATAGCCTGTGTTGGGCTTGGTGTGGGCTGGCCCGTCTTGGGCTGGTGTGGGCTAGCCTGTGTCGGGCTGGTGTGGGCTTGCTGTGGGCTAGCCAGTGCTGGGCTGGTTTGGTCTTGGTGTGGGCTAGCCCATGCCCACCTTTTCCACTGAATACCCACATGGGGCAAATGGGGTCATGTTTGCTGGGATGTTTTGAAGCTGTGTTTGTTTACAATACCGAGAGTTGAACTAAGCTCCTGAGAAGAATGCATGAGTTATATTCTTCATGAATCAATATCATTAATGTAAAAGTGCAAAGGTGGATGTACCAATCCCAGATTTCCCCTTTAACACAACCTTCCCTATCTGTGAGAATATCCAAACAATGATGAAGCTTACAACCTAATCCTATTAAGAATGGTGTGGGGTGATTTGACTACCGTATTATATTTTACAATGACGGTATGTCAAGTATCAAACATTTGGATGCATTCAGACTCGATCAGACTTTTCGTCCCTGGCAACAGCTTTGGCCCATTGAGTTCACAATAGAGTTCATGATTCACATACCTCCCTCCAACTGCAATACACACAGGATAGATAGTATTCCCCCAATTAAAAAATATGTTTGGCTTGACAGCAATGGAGTTGGCAAGAGCACAAACAGATATGGGACCAGGCTAGTAA